CTGGTATTCATGCAGGACTGGCCCTTTTTTTTGCATTGATTGAGCAGACATTTGTCAACAGTGTGAGATTTCAGTGGTATCTGGAAGACTCCCAACTGAAACAATGTACCCAACGAGCACCAAATTCTACCACTAAACGTTCAGTCCTTCGGTCAAGGGGTCCCTTCTCCTGACATGGATTTGAAAATGCAAATATACCTGCTTTCTTTAGGGTCCCAGGCACAGAGTAGCTGCTCAATAAGTCTTTATTGACTAGAACTGAACAGAATGAGCTGAATAAGTCATTTGGTGACTGTGACCAAATTAATTTATATCTCTGGTTTCTTAGCTATAAGGGTTCCCCCAGACCAACGATTCTCCATGTGAGGGGCAGAGAGAGGGGGTAGTGTGTCTTTCCAAGGGGGTAAATCAAATCCATGGGGAGGGGAGAAGGTAGCATTTGTGGGTTGAGAAAGAACATTCAATGGTATAATATAGTTTTGTATTTGGAAAGCCAGAGTCTGCTCCTAATACAAGAGGCTTCCCTAATATAATCCACAGAAGAAAATTGCTCAACAGACTCTTCTGGGCTGCTGAGGATTCATAAACTGACCTTAGAATTCAAAATGGGCATTTTCCATCTCACCCAAAATCAGAGCAGCTCCAGCTCTCCCTGGGAAGGAGGCGGATCTCTTTTGTCATGGGGCCAAAAAGGCTGAGAGGCTCTAAGGAGAGGGGTTTGGTGCCTCCAGCTCTGATCATCTCCATTGGGCTCTTTCATGCTCCTTCATTAAAACAGCAGCTGTTTGGGTTCCCGAGGATGAAGGTATCCTTAAAGGGACAGTAAGGACACATTGCAGAGGAAACAGGGAGGTGTAAACAGGCTTCACTCTTCTGGCTTTTGTGCTTGTTTCTCTGCCTGCCCAATACGCATCTTTGGCATCACTTAGGGCTGTAGAGGGCATGGCCCAACCTAGCATTTGTCTTACGGTTTGCATGAAAACCCCAAAGGCCAGACCACAGACCTGCAGAGGTCAAAGGAGCCTTGCCTTCTCCTACCTTTGAGACAGAAGTTCCCCATCCATGTCTCTACAGGGCACCCTGCACCTTCTGTTTATATACTTCCAGTAAAACCTAGCAACTAAGACTTTCACGCAACCCCGGGTTCAAGTCCTCCCTCAGCCAGCCACCAGCAAAGTGACTTTGGCCAATTAATCTTTCTATGTCTGGTTTCCTTTTTAGTAAAATGAAGATCATAGTACCCACTTCGTGCGATGATTGTGAGGATTAAATGAGATAATATGTGTCTCTGTGTTTCTCTGCTGCTTGGAATTCTGTCTATTTATGTAACGCAATTTGCATTTATTTACATATGACCTGACATGCAGTCTGTGTGTGGTCACAGGATAAGGTGAGCGTGACGTGGGCGGTTACTTCTGCTTGGAGTCGACCCCTCCCCTGAAGGACCCAGAGAGGGGGATGTTGGGGTCGCTTCCTCACTCCTGAGAGCACACTGCTTCTCTGTGCTTTCACCAATGTCAAGTACAAAAAGTTTATACATGAGAGAATTCTTTAAAATACTCTTACCAAACAAAGCATTCCTTACATGTTCTAAATAAGCCCAGAGTGACACGTATACAGACCTGAGTGTAGCCAGCTTTGGGCTCTAATGAAATACAGCATCGCATCCTCACATGGTGAATGCTGCCCCCGGGAAGCACTGCCCACAAAAGTTGAGCCCCTCACCCAGATGACAGTTCATCAGATATGTGACAGCCGCTACCTCATGCCCTCATCACTCTCACCCTTGTCAACATTTCTGCATGCTTCTCTTTACCCCTCCCTAACAGCTCCCACCACCGCGGTCTGGGTGTTCTCTGTGCCAACTTAAAAAGGGGGTGCATGCTCAGGCCCACCGCTGAGCCCCGTTATTGTGCCTAAGTTGGCATTTACTTTCCAGCCAGCCCTGTCATGCTGTGGACTCAGGTGCCAAAGCGCGTGCACCAGAACTTCCTCTGGAAAAGGCACTTGGAAATAGGCTGGGGCCACTGGGCTTGACTCACACTCTCCTCTCGCCCCCCCAGAAATGTCCCCAAGTCTGCATCCTTCAAAGTCCCGATTCCCAGCTTCTCTGGACTTGAATTACGGCCATGAGACATTCTCACCTTCATAAGACGTGTCAGAGGCCCCACTCACTGGGTCTGGGGTGCGCGGGTCATATCTCCCCAGTGTGGCTTCCTCTCCCGTCTTTCTTTCTGATGAGCTTTCTCTGTTTGAAGCACAAGGAGCCACAGGTTCCTGCCGACTTAATTCCTCTTGCTTAGAGACTATTCACACTCCTAAAGCAGGTGAGGCCCGGAGGGGAGTCCACCGCAGCTCCTCATGAGTACAGACCCATGAGGGTGCCCTCCCCATGGCTCGCAAGGGGCTGTCAAAGTCTGAAATCATCCTGTGTCTGGGGATTTGGGTATTTCCAAGAGTGACACAAGTATAAACCAATCTGATTGTCCCTGGCCAGGGTGAGCATCAGAGACACTCGGAAACGTCTGAGTCATTATGGGTAATTCCCACTCCTGGCCCAGTACCCACCTCCCTGCCCCGTCTCCTGTGATCCTTTCCAGCCACTCCGTTCATTCGCTTTCCCTCTTGCTCCACATCTTTCATCTCTCTTTCTCCTCTGCCAGTCCGAGTCCAGCCTGTCCTCAGGGCTCAGTCCAAGTGCCACCTCCTCTGTGACTCCCTGAGGACCCACCTGGAAGTGAGCTGAATGGCCTCTCTGAATGGCCATGCCTTGCATCACTAGTACGACCCTGCCCCGGATGGCATTAAGCTGTGAATCGGGTTTACGCCACCTCACCCCAATGGAACTGCAGGACCTTGCATATTAGGCACCACACAGAGAAGGTGGAAAGGAGAAAGGAAAGAACTGAGGAAGATGGCCTCTTGGCGACCATCTTGGGCTCTAGTGTGTTTCTCAGCAGCAGAAGAAGGGTGGTCAGGAATTGGGGAAGCTTAGAGTAGAGAAGAAAACACAAAGGCAGTGTCACCATGGCGGGATTGCACAGGTGCCACATGTTCTGTAGGGACTAATAATGAGTCTAGCCTCCCTGGGGTGGGGGGAGGGAGATTCGGAGCAGGAGCTGAAGCCAGTGACGGTCACCCTGGAGAGCATGACAAGTTCTAATTCCCAAAAAGGGTCCATTTGGCCACAGACACCAAGGGGCAAGGTGTTATTGGTCACTGAGGAATCAAATATTCTTAATTTCCCTATGTGCCCAGCACTGTACCAGGTAGACTAAGGGACATGAGGAATTACAGAGGAAACATAAACAATGCCTTCAGAGAGCTTGCGGTGTAAAGGAAAAGGTGAACCACTTAGACAGCCATGAGTGCTGGAGAAGGAATGCTGAGTCAGGTGGAGGGTCGAGGCGCTGAGCATCCCTAAGTTTCAGAGAGGAGAGCGGTGGACAGCAAAAGGCGTGGTTGAAGTTGAGCCCCTTAATCCAACGGGAAGAAAGTGGGATTTGGGTGGAGCCCTGAGGACGACACAGAGCGGGCTGGATAAAGGGGAACAAGATAGCGCGTTAAAATGGGTCCGTGGGCTCAGCTCCACTCAGCAGAGAGGAGGGCTGTGCGAGGTAGCCGAAGTGGGAGAAAACACCAGAAAGACCCTCTGGTCAGCTTGAGGAAAGCTCCAGGGTCCAGTCAGGATGCTCTGGTTTCATTTTCCAAGGAAGCAGGAGGACGGGCACCCCAGGTTCCCAGCAGACAAAGCCCTGAGGTGTGAGCGTGCCTGGCCCTTCCATCTCCTCCCAAGCGCTTTCATCTTGGGTTTGTCTCGGGGTCTTCCCGCATTAACTTCCCCATCACTCTCCACCTTCGAAACGCGCGGTGTCGGTGCGCTGTGTGCCCTCTGACCAGATCACTCGCATCCGAGGGGCTGCTCTGCTTCCCGTGTCCTCTGTGGCGTGGACTCAGTCCTGGGCTCTCACTGGGGTGCTGGACCCGCCGGGGTCCTGATACCACCTCTGCCAGCATGTCCAGACCCTCTGTCTCTGGACCACCTGCGAGCCACGCCCCTCCCAGCTCAGTCTCTCCTTGCCGTTTGCCGTTCATTCCGACCAGCCCGTGTTTGTCCGGCATCCACGGTGTTGCCACAGAGATGGCCCCTATCTGTACGCACTCTGGTCTGATAAGAGCTTTTACATACTTGATTCATTCACACCTCAGCAATCCAGCAGAGCTGTGTCACCCCTTTTCTCAAAATAAGGAACCTGAGACTCAGGGAGGCTAAATGGCTTTGTCCAAGGCCAAAAGGTCCCTGACTTGCCATTGCTGCCCTACAGGTGAGGACCCCGTCCCCGCCGCGGGGACCCCCTCTCCACCCCGGGCTCCGCCCCCCGCCGCAGCGCTACCCTTGGCGCAGCTTCTCTCTCTCCTCCAGAGCCGCGGCCTCCGGGCCCCCTCCCGAACCCTCTCCTCCCCCAGGACTAGCTGAAGAGTAGGGTCCTGATTCCTGGTGTCCCCTCACCTTCCCGACTGCCTTTGGAACAAACAAACAGCACCCCTGCATCCTGCGGGACCTGACCCAGCGTCCCTGCAGAGGAACCGGAGGCGAATTGGGCAATGTGAAGAGACTCCGGCTGGAGTTAGACTCCATGCTCTCTGCGATGAGAATGAAGCTCAGCCTCGGGCTCGGAGCCGTGGCCCCCAAAAGCTTTTCGGAGGGGCCTCCACGCTCTGCTCTCTCTCACAGTCCTGCTTGTCCGCACCCCTCTCCAGGAAGGACCTCTTTTATGCCAACTCTGGAAGTTTCGAATAACATGTTGTAGGTCCATCAGACGTTCAGAGGACACCCGATTAGGCTCTGTTATTCTCAGAAAAAGTCAACATAGGTCCTTCCCTGACAGAGCAATAAGGCATTGTCCCTGTCACCAAGATAGAAGTGGCAGCACAGGGCAGTTTGCGGCTAAGCCCCAACAAACGGCACAGATAGGCGTTCTGAGGACCGGAGGGAAGGGGTGGGGCGGCGCCGGGAGTCACAGGGCGGGGCCCGGGCCTGGCAGAAGGGTTTGAAGGTTGAGAGCGCTTACAGGGGGTCATCCCAGCTGGGAACAGGTCAGCAAGGAGCAAGGTGTGTTTTGGAGACAGGGAAGAGGTCAGGCAAGATGAATCCAAGGGCAGAGTGCCTGTCTTCGGGCCCAGCTGGCAATCCGAGCAGGCAGCAGGAGGCCCGGGACTTCGCCCGACGGTCATCCTCCCTCCTCCTCTTACCTACAGCGCAGCACAGTCTGGGAAGGTCCTGGCAAAATCAGTGAGCGGCTTGCCTTGTAGGGCTGACACAGGCCAGGTGTTCCAGGGGCCAGGGCAAGAGGTGATGTTGGTCACTGCCGCCAGACTGAGGTCACTTGGCTGCAACCCCGCCCACCCCCCACCAGCCAAAGAGGCTGGGAGGAGGGGCAGCTCCTGGAGGGGACATCTTTCCACTCTCTGCCTCAAGGACAGCCCGTGTGCTCACCAAGTAGAATTAGCAAATGTTAATATTCTTTTATTTGCTCCAGATTTTGAGACTGAGAAGAAAGAAATATCTAGAAGGGATTCAGGGGTCTGAGGTCCCTTCCCCATTCTGTCCCCGCCCTTCCCGGAGGCCAGCCCTGGCAGCATTTGCATGTATGCCCGTCCCATCCCTGCGTTCACACATGGCTATGTTCATGTGAGTCCATTAATCGCTGTGTAGGATTTGTTTACGTGCCATTGGATCTACATAAATCATGTCTTAATCAACATATTGTTCACAATTTGCCCATTTTACTCAACATTTCTGCTTGGGGAATCTTACTGATAATTCAACTTGACTTTCTTTAACTGCTCTAGAGAACATCATTGTATTTATTTTAATCCATCTCCATGGATGGGCATTTTGCTTAGAGCTTTTTCATTTTTTGGTCATTTATTATTTTTATTTTAATTTTTTTATGCAAACAATGCTGCACTGAAATTCTATTTCTAGAGGCACACAGTTCATTCTCCTATTGTAGAGAATGAAGAGACACTCCACTTCAGTCCAAATGCCATTAAGTCTCTATCACATACAGAACACAAAACTGAATACAGTGAGTAACAAAGGGTGTATCCAGAAGAGCTCCTGCCTTGGAGAAGCTTACGGTCTGGAAGGAGGGATAAGCCTGGTAGAAGCCTGTGTGTTAAAAACTCCAGGACGGGGCCCAGACAACATACATGCAATTAAGAGATAAGGTGGAGTTGATTCAATACAGAGGAGTTGAAGGCAGTGAGATTAAGTCGAAAATCTACATGGATATGGATCGTATCAGGAAAGCTTTCTTAAAAGAACTTGATCCTGACTGGGGCCTCAAAGAAAATACAAGATTGAAGTGCTCAGAGAACAGGAGAGAGGGCATTCCTGGCACGGCCCATACGAGCAAGTGCCCTGGGGCAGGACTAAGCGTGGAATGTGAATGTCTGGTCTGGCTGGAGCGCGCGCCTGGCAGAGAGGAGCCGGGAGGCTCTTCTTTCATTTGCAAAGTTGAGCTCAGGCGCGCTTTCCGGATGGTGTCCACGTGGCCTGTTGCCCTGGGCAGCCAGCCCGGGTGGTATTTTTCCATTACCCTGAGCAGGGAAGAAGTTCAGTCACTTGTTGAAAGCAATGTGACCATTCAAGGAGAAAACAATTAGGGCTGTTGACCTGTGGGCCTTCCAGAGGGAGGGAGGGAAGGAAAAAATTCTCCCCAGGGGGAAGGAGCCGGGTGGGAAACATCCAAGAGGGTAATTGGTAAATATTGTTGTTTCATTCCATGTTTGCCTGCTCCGCGCGGGTCCCTCTGCAAGTGGTGTGTTTAAATCACACTGTCTGACTTTGGCAGGTTTAATTGAGTCGCCACTGAAAAAGAAATTATCCCTGTGCTATTAATTTTTATAGTTCCTTGGGGCTTTTAAAAAGTGTTTGGATTTTCTAGGTCTTTGAAAATGAAAACATTAAATTTTATTAAAAGGAAATGCAGGGGGGCTGGCAGGGCCCCGCCAGGCCCTGATGAGATGGTTGGTGGAAAGGTCTGGGCCCTCACGGGCAGCGTGACAAAACTTTTGCCCCTCTCAGAATGAGAGTTAGGTGGTCTCCGGGGATGTGTGATGTCAGCCAGGCCCGCATTCCCTGCTGGCTCATAGTGGGCGCTCTTGTCAGTGTCACCCAGACCCTGTCCCACATCCAGGCCTCCTGTGGGCCCAGGGACAGCGTTAGAGGGAGCTCCCAGGTGGGGCCGATGGGTGTGCCGGGCAGATCCAGCTTGTGGGAGCCAGAAACTTTCCCAATTTAGGGGACCCTCTTCTAGAAAAAGATTTCAAAATTCCAAATACAAATTACATTTGAAAGCGAAATCACATTTATAAAGAGAAAAGAAATCACAACACATAACAAATTTTAAAAAGCTGACAAATTCCGCAGGCATCCCCAAATCTAAAATAAGTGACACTCATCTGTAATATTTTTCTTCCTACCTTTTTTTTTTGAGCTACAAACTCTTTGATCATCTCTTTACATGATGATCATTTTTCAATCTCATTTTTATAGAGAGAATACAAAGATAATTCAGTCTCCCCTCGAATAAGTTGATCCAATTTTGTGTTTTATTATTCACGGTTTGAAAAGGTTCCTTTCTGTCTCACAATTTGTCACTGGTAAATGCCATATGAATTTTCAGAATTGTTATCAACTTTGGGAAAAGCTCTGTCAAGTATCTTTCCTGCGTGAGCTATGAGATTTCAGGGCATTTCAACTTCTCTTTTACAGCGACAAATCTAAAATACTCTGTGAATTGATGAAACTCACTAACCAGATTGTCATCGATGCCTCATTGTAGTGGCGTGTAATGACTTTTATGTTATCTCCGTCAGTGTCAGTATTTCCTGTCAAATCAGCAAGACATTTAAACGCGGGGATTCTGATAAATTCTGTGTCAGTAATTCCCATCAAGAAAGAGACCAAATGAATGGTGCATTTATAATTGTATTACTTTGCATGATTGAGTATATTCCTGACAGAAGAGAGCTTTCATTTTGAGCAGGCGGTGATGGGAACAGAATCCTGTGATTTCACCAGCCTGACAATTGGAGGAATTCCCCAACGATGGGCCTCTGGCTCCGTATGTCCCCCTCTCCCCATGCACTTCCAGGACCCGGCACCGTAGGACATGCTCACTCAGGGCTCCCTTTGTGACCCCACCCAGGGTCTGTCTGCGCAGGGGAGCCCGGCATTCCTGGAAGCCTTCTGCCGACAGTGGCAGCTAGTGACATGTCCACATACAAAGAATCAACCAAACGCCATAGGTTATTCACACCCAAACCAACACACTTCCAACTCAATGTCCCCTTAGCTAGTTTCCAAAGGGGCCACTCTGATGCCCCCAAAATGAGAATGGTATGACGGGGACAAATCAGAGGTGAAAGAAACAGTGATATTAACAGATTGTAGTTAAAATACTTACATTCACCAATGATATGAAAACATATGACCGTGTAATCACACTGTGCTGATGACAGGCCCTGAAGTTTAAGTGTCCCCAGCGTCACAGGAAGTTCAGTTCCGCACACTATGGAAGATCTGGGGAGAGGCTTGGAGTTTGGGATGTCAGGGAATTAACTAACTACACACCTGGAGACATAAAAACAGCACAGGACGACCCACAACCCAAACACGACAAGGAAGCTGAAGGGCCTTTGTGCGGGGCTGCCTTTGGGGTTCAGACATGCAGGTGGTCAGGGTGTGATGGGAAGCCAGGAAGGCAGGAGGTGGACCTGGACCTGGACCTGGGTAGGATTCAGGGGCTGAAGAGCACACCTGTGTGTGTGTATACACGTGTGCCTCTGTGAGCCTGTATGCTTGGACATGTGTAGTGTGCCCATGAGCCCCTGTGAGCATGTGCAGGGAGGGAAGTCAGGGATCAGCATGAAGTCCACAGGGGGAGCAGCCGAGCCTGATAGTGGATGTGCAGAGGACACCGAGGCCCGGCAAGGCAAGGCATCTGGGCCCAGCTTCCACAGCCGGTCAGGGACAGACCACAGAGCCATGCCCACGGCTCCCAACACCACGTCCAAGGTGCTTCCCAGCACCTGGGGCTCCTCTCCAGGCCTGTGCCTGTGCACCTGATGGGTTTCTCTGCAGAGAGCACCCTCCTCGGCTCAGGAAAGGATGCAGATGAAAACTGCTGGAGTCCTACCTCTCCTGGGGGTCACTCTGTTGTCATAATCACTCAGCCAGCCCTGCCCTTTGACCCTGCCCCCATTTAAAGTCACAGGCACCGGGTGCCAGGCCGGGAGCTGAGTTCAGAGGAGATGCACATTTTGCTTCAGTGGCAGAGTGGTGGCGCCTTGTGTGCGACTTCCTTAAGGAAACAAATTGGGTGTGGGTCATCTCCGTGTGAGAAGTAAGAGCTCTAGGTGATGTGTGTATTGCTTCAGGTGAGGAAAGGATGTGGAATAACTCAAATGTCAGTTGAGGAAGAAAATCAAGGAATGATAGTAACTTCAGTTTTCCGGCCCTGTGCTAGGCGATCCGCGGTCTCCGATGGTAACTCTCTGATCCTGCCCATTTTATAGGCAAGGAAATTGAGGCTTAGAGAAGGGGAGGATTTGCCCAAGTCACACAGGTAGAAGTAGCAGGGCCAGAGGGTCTGATTTCGAGTCTGTGTCTTAAACCACCGTGACCTACTGTCAATGGACAAAGGTGGGAGTGATTCTCCCAGAAGCACAGAACCTTGACCAAACCCCCCAAAACATGGGACCACTTAAAATTATCTCTAAGTAGAAAGCTGAAGGTGGCCGTCTCCCTGCTGTCATCATCGCTCGCACACACAGAGAATACACATACACCACACACACCCCCAACACATGGACCACACACGTCCACCAGACACACACACACGTCCACACCACTGTCTCTCTGATGTGGCCAGATGTCCTTCCTGTGACTGTCCCTGCCCTGACAATTAAGTCTCCAGCCAGTTAGCTACTGATCTTTGACTCATTTAATCTCCAAGTGAACCTTCAGTACTTACAGCTGTTGCCTCTTAATATTTCAGGGTATTAAAGGGTGAATCTGGGGTGCAAGAGTGTCTATCTCCATCAGCAGATAACTGCAGGATGGGGCAGGCTGAAAATACTTCCAGCTTTACTCAGAAGGCCAGGTTTCTGAGAGGTGCTGGAGAGGGCTAGGGGCAAGGTGAAAGGTTATCAGAGTGGGTGTGTGGGTGTGTGTGTGTTCAAGCTATTTTCGGGTGACACTAAAGTTGAAGCCTTAAGTGGTCAAAGGGAGTCTGGTGATTTATTTGGGTTGAGTATTTGAGATCTCAAAGCCAACCATTCTATGACTCTTGTCTCATTTTACAGCTGGCACATGTGCACATTGTGTGCGTGCGTGCGTGTGTGTGTGTGCACGCGCGCATGCACAACTCACAAAGAAAGAACCAGAGAGTTAGTCTGACTCAGGCTGACGGATACCAGTTCCAAATTTTCTCTGCAACTCTGTTTACCATTGTTCATGCCAAGAAGTAAAGGCCAACACCGCCTCCCAGACTGAAGTCATAAATCTCAGGCCTGTGGGAACAGGGCCCACCCTTCCCCAGCAGAGATAGACAGAGACGCGGGCCCAGACACACGGAGCGTGGAAACTTCCACTGGCCTGCATTTGACCTCCCCAGTTCTGCATCTTAAAGGGACCCCGGCTGACAGAGAGCAAGCTGGCTGGCCGGCCCAGACCCGTCTGCCGGTTTTGAGCTGTTGTCCTGTCTTACTCGATACCTAGGATGCCCGAAAACTCAGGAAGGAGTCAGGGAGCCCCTTAAGCTCAGGACCCTGAGGTCATTTTCGGTCCATTTCTGAAAGAGCCAGCCTCTGTCCGGGGGTGAGCCTGGCGAGGGTGCGGCACAGGGGCGTGCGGGGAGGCGGGACCCCTGGGCCTTCGAGGCTCTGCCCCAAGCAAGCTGCGCACCTGCCGGGTCCCCAGCTTTGCCGGCCCCCTCATGGAAGAGTTGTTGGGTTCAAAGTCAAAATGGTTGGTTACCTCAAGAGGAGGCCTGTAAAAACAGAAAAGGAAAAAAAAAAGTACAAATCCAGGCAAGTATAGGTAATTTGTGAACCACAAACCCGCCCCAGGGTCTTCGGAGAGGACAGTGAGGACATGGAGAAGGGCAGCCGTGGCCTCTCAGAACCTGCCCCTCAGTGTCACAGGGCGCGGCCTGGGCCGGTCCGAGCGCTCAGCCACTGCGGCTGAGGCGGGCGGTGTTGGGTTGTCCTCACCCCCTCGTGCAGATGCTCACGGACGCGCCCTGCGCCCGCTGCTGGGAGGCCTGGGGGACTGGGCCCCCAGCGCTATGAGCGGCCTCCTCTCTGCCTTTTCCCTCACATCCCCAAGAGCCTTCCCTTCCATGGCCACCCCCAACAGGGCCTTACCTCGCCCATTTCCCGCCCTTTCTGCTTTCTGAGTCTCGTGGCCTGTGGCTGTGGGACTGTGCAGATTGGGAAGCTCTGTGATGGCGTCAGTATGTCACTGACTGGTGCCTGGTGCTGTGGCTGCCCAATATGGTGCCGCCACCAGAGAAGCCAGAGGCCCGGCCTGGCCTTGCTTCAGAGAGCGTGCAGTCTGACCAGGGGAGTATGGGCGCCATTAACGCTGTTGGCTAAACGTTTCTGGTCCTGCCCCCATTCAAGGCCTTGGGTAGGATTACACTTCGGCTCATTGTGGTGAGCGGAGTCATGAGAATGGTTCTGGCCAATGAGCTGTGAGCTGAAGGGTCATGTCACTTCCAAAACAGAACATCTAACTGCTGACACCAAGACCTCACAAGTGTTTTATCTTTGGCATGAGGACCAGCTGTTTCAAGAAAGCAGCTCCTTCATCAGCCTGAGTCCCTGAAGAACAATGTTGAGCTGAGCCCACCCCCTCACCCGCCAGAGACCACGTCAGACATTTAGTACGAGCAAGAAATAAGCCTAGGTTGCTTTAATCCACAGAGACTTGGGGGGCTGTCACTGTAGTACAACCTAACCTACCCTGATGGGTACAGAGACACACGGAGTATAGGTCTTGGACAAGATGAGAGTAATAAAAAGCTGTGGATAGTCATATTCTGAGTGTTCCAGCACTGGCGGTAAATTCCAGATGTGGTAAAAGAAGAGGAATTTATTGTAAGCTGGACATGATCAAAGAGCACTTCCAGGAGCCTGTCTAGGATTTAAATTAGATTGATGGGAAGAAAATGGTAAGAAATGCTCACCTCTCCCAGTTCTCCTTAAAACTTGGGCACTATGCAATGGAATACTACTCAGCCATGAAAAAGAATAAAATCATTCCATTTGCAACAACATGGGTGGACCTGGAGATTGTCGTTCTAAGTGAAGTAAGGCAGAAAGAGAAAGAAAAATATCATGATATTGCTTATACGTGGAATCTTTAAAAAAGGACACAGGTGAACTTATCTACAAAACAGAAACAGACTCGCAGACATAGAAAGAGGACAAACTTATGGTCACCAGGGGTAAAGGGGATGGGGAGGGATAAACTGGGAATTCAAAATTTGCACCTCTTGGGGAGTGATGGAAATATTAGCTTTCTTGACTGTGGTGGTGGTTTCATGGGTTTATACATCTGTCAAAATTCATCAAATTGTACATCTGAAATATGTGCAGTTTACTGTACAGGAATCATACCACAATAATGATATTATAAAAAAAAAACAAACTTGGGCACTTATTTCAGCCTAAATGCATGTCCAACATTTCATTAGTTAGGAGGGAATCAGGCTTCAGCTGCATCCATCATGACCCCATGTCTCCTCATCCCAACTGCCTCTCAACACACGCCTTTAATTTTCTATTTATTTCTATCTTCTCTCACCCTTACCTCAAGTGAGAAAATGTGGTACCCTCTTCCTGTCCACATCCAATCCATCCCAAGAACTCTCCAGGGTTCAGTTCTCAATGATCCATCCTCCCCTCTCCTGTGTTTATACCTCCCTCTGTACTGGTTCCTGTCAACAGCCTGTAAATGTTCTCAAATGCCTCTCTGTTCGAAATAAAAACCATCTTTTAGCTTTGAACCTATCTCTTTACTTTAGTCTAAATGCTTAATTCATATACCAATTCTAGACTTCCTTATTCCTTTAGAATCCACTATGAGCTTCCTTCTCACAAAATAGAATTCAAGATTTAGGGATCAGATGCTATAAAAAGCAATTCAAGGTATATTAAATCTCGACTTCATATCTCACCCCTGGCTAGGGTTAGCCACATCACAGTATATCTGGGAAATCAATATTCTATGAAATAGGGATTTCAAGAGTAAAGTTTACCTTGGCTGGCTATGTGTGGGTAATTAGGCATGCTGTAATGATAATAGATCTGATTTAGTATGAAATGCTAGTGCCATTATGGTAAAATAATTTGGCTCATTAATTTGTCTGCCAAGAGTGCTGGTCTACACCCTTACCCACTGTCACTGACAGTGGGAGATGGAGCCCTGGGGTGGAAATCAGGAGTCCTGGGTTCCCATCCCAGCCACCAGCTAACCAGCTGTCTGATCTTGAGCCAATCACATGACTTCTTCAGGCTTCAATTTCTAGCCCACCCACCTCCATCCTTAATCAAGACGCTGACTAAAAGTCATGCGTCGGCCTTTAAAACTGCAATGCTCTTTGATTCTTTCTCATCATCCTTTTCCATGCTAAATTGTAGAGTTGTCAAGAATGAAGAAAGAATTGGAATTGTATCAATTTGATTCAGATAAGCAGTAACAAAGTATCTTTCATCCTATAGCAAGTGTGTGCCATTGAGGGGGACCAGCTGGTGAGGGACTGATTTGGGCTGGTGTGTGGTTAGTATCTCTTAACAGAAGAAGTGTAGGAAGAGTGCAGCACTCTGGTCTCATCCCAGCAACATCGCTATTAGCCGTGTGACCCTGAACCTGTCACTTAACCACTCTGGGCTGCCTTTTGGGCTCTAAAATTCCATGGCATCTTACGTGTTCCTGAAGACCCAGTTTGCAGTCTCTCTAAACCCTCACCTCACCCTTACCTTGAAATGAAGTTCTTCTTGGATTATATGGTTGGTACTGTCAACTGAAATAAAGCGCACAACCTAAAAGTTGAGAGCTATGTTTTATTCAGCGGACATTTCTGAGGGCTTAAGACTTAAGCCCAGGATGACAGCCTCTCAGATCGCTCTGAGGGACTGCTCCAAAGTAACAAGGTAGAAGCCAGGATATATGAGCTCTTGCAACAAAGACCAGATAGTCAGAACATCAGCAGATGTTAATTAATTAACATCAATCGATCATAATCATAATCAAATCAAATCATAATTAAAAGATGTTAATTAAAGAAAACCAGAGATCTCAAGTTAAGGAATTTAGTGCTTTTCTATTTATGGGAAGGTGCAAAGATCTGGGGTCATTGAAATCATTTCTTTGATACGCACCTGGCTCTCTAGGGCCAGCGTCCTGTCCTTTCCCGTCCTGAGTTCCCGCAGAGTGCACCGCTGCGGAGGCCAGGCTGCCTGCTCCTATGCATCTGAGTTCCCTCCGCTCACTGTCAGGGGTCACGGTAGCAGCTGATGACTTGATGGCCACAGCATCCTTTGTTTACCAATAAGGCTTGAAATATTTTTCATTCTCAGTACTTAACGCAAATGATGGGTTTTAAAGCATCATGGCAGAAGTCCTTCCTCTCACCTCCCAAACTTCCTACTCTAAGACCACCCAAGCCTACGTGAACTCAAACACTGGCCTCTGAGAGCGACAAGGGAGTGAAACAGCGGCTTCGAGGAGTCAGAGCCTACAGGCACTGAGTCCACTGTTTTCTGATTCACAGCACGTTGGTAACTCGGAATTACAAGTCCTTTAAAAAGTAGTCATACTTTAGGTTACATGCTGTGTTGAAGTCTGCAAGCAGTGTGACTTCCATCAATTTCCTCGATCCTCACAAGACTCTCATTCTCAGTTCTCCTGTCTGGGACCTTTGGCAGCACCCAGGAGGACCATGCACCTCCTCCCAGAGCACCGTGTGACAGCAGTATTGTGAAGCAAAGGTGAAGAAGGCATTAAGGAACGTGAGGTTGTAAATAAGGTTTCCTTTTTTCTACATGAAGCAAACACAGATGAATTACAGAGTCGGTACTGTCTCCTTCCACTAGAGTAGAAACAAGAGGAGACCAGGGTCTTTTTATGGTGGTTTTTCCTCGTTGTGTCCCCAGTGCCACAACAGTGCCATGCAGAGGAGTACGATTTTGATGAATGAGTGAATGCACACTGTATATGAATTTTTAGGCTAAAACTGGAGACTTTGGGGAAACGGTGTCATCAAAGGCATGCCACTTTAAGCTCTAACACTAGACTCCTTGCAGTTTATTAGTTCAATAGCCCGTCCCTTTAGGGCACTTCCTGAAGACTAGAAATTAGGGTATGATTCACCCCACTTTACAGAGGAGGAAAGGATGCTCTATGAATTAAAAAAACATACTCAAGCATATACAATCCAGAAGGAATGGAGGCCAGGACTAGAACACATGCCAACTTGACACTCATTTATTTAGTAAACTCTGTGTGCCGAACATTGGGTAGTTGCAGTTTTAAACACAATGGAGCCACAAGGGACTTCCACTCCCCGCTGGATTTCCTCCTGGCAACCCTGCTCATCTCTCTCTTGAGAGCTGCCCACACCCAGGCCTGGCCTGGGGGTGCCTGCCCTTCGAGATGCTATGCCAAAAAGCCTTCCATCTTCCCTCTCAGGTCCTAACAACAGGCTTGGCATCCTCTTTCAATTCCAGAGATATACTGGTAGTTTCTATGGGGCTACAGAGGGGAGTACAGAGGGAAGAATAAATAGCAAACATGTGATGGTTATAAAATCTAAGAAATTAGGCGGCAGTTGTGAACTTACGGTCCGATGTATAATTCCTGACCCCTTACTGGGCGCAGAAGTCTTGAGATGCCTAGACCCAGTGTCCTTTCCGCTGCCCCACCATACCTTACGCTTTCTTCTCTGGGTCCATGTCTTCCAATATGCTAGCCAAGGTCACTCACACCGGCCAGACTCCTCGGCCTGCCAAGGCCATGGCCACCTGCTCTTATTATCTGAAGAGCCATCAAAACCCAGAGACAACTGATGTCTGAAACAACAGAAACATGTCCTCGTTGGGCAGAACATATGACACGTAGCTGAGTTTGGCTGAACACTATCTGAGGCCTTTGATCTTCTGCTGGGCCCTCCAGAGACAGCAGTTCACAACACTGGATGCCTATCAGAATCCAGGGGGTCCCCACCCTGGACCAACTGAATCGAAATCTCTGGGGTAGGGTCCAGATATAGTTTAAAAACAAAATCTAGAAAGGGTCCAGGATTTTTTTTAAAGCTCCCCAGTGATTCTAATATTCAGCCAGGATTGAGAACTGCTGCTGTGATGGATTCGCTTCCTTTCCTCTGGGGTATCTGAAACTTTGTGAAACTAAAGGCTAGTCTTTAAAACTAGGAGGAGTTAATTAACACATGTGCATTTAGACTGGCTCCACCGAGGCAGCCAAAGCAGTTCCCAAGATAAGTTTCAAGGGTTCAGGCCTCAGACTCAGAAGGTTTCAGGTCTTCTTTCCTGAAAGCACGTGATCAAATGTCCCGAACACATCACCAAGTGAGTATCCACCAAGCCTACAAAAATATAAATATGACCAATGACCTCTTATGCCAGATTCGTCACTCAGAGTTTCCAGAGTCCTTTGCCCACCGTCAAGACTCTCGACGCCTGCCCCCAACATCCTGTTCAAACTTTCTTCCACTATATCCCTCAACACAGACTCAACTCCTGGTATACGGTCCCCATCTACACCCCCATTTTAGTCTGCAGATCTAACCCAAGCATTCGTCTGCCTGGGCCGATCAGAAGTGCCTTTCCCTACTATCTGTCTCTCCGCAGCCTAACTTTAAATCCCAACTCAAAGTCATCTTTGATGTGCAGAATTCTGTAGGACCACACTGGCTCCCAGAAGCTGCTTCGTCTTCTGAGCTCAGTGTCCATCACACGTAACATTTATTCTGACACTTCAGATACCCTAGGTGGGCAAATGTGTGTACGTTCCCTAATGGGCTATAACTCCTACATATGGTAGAAATCAAGATTTTTTTAATTCAAGTGTAGCAGGTTTCCAGTGCTGTGTTAGTTTCAGGTGTACAGCAAGTGATTCAGTTACAAATATATATTCAGTTGTGTATATATCTGTTCTTTTCCAGATTCTTTTCCATTATAATTTATTATAAGACAGAATATATGTCCCTGTGCTATACAGTACTTTCTGACTGATTACCTATTTTATACATAGTAGTTTGTATCTGCTAATTCCAATCTCCTAATTTATTCCTCCTCTTTTTTCCCTCATTTGTAGCCATCAGTTTATTTTCTATGTTTGTCTGTTTCTGCTTTGAAATAAGTTCATTTGTATCATTTTTTAAGATTCCACATACAAATGATATATGATATTTGTCTTTGACTTATTTCACTTAGTATGATAATCTCTAAGTCCATCTATGTTGCTGCAAATGGCGTTATTTCAATATTTTCATGGCTGAGTAGTATTCTATTGTGTTTACATACCACATCTTTTTCCAGTCATCTGTAGATGGACATTTAGGCTGCTGCCATGTCTTGGCTATTATAAATAGTGCTGCTGTGAACACTGGGGTACATGTATCTTTTCAAATTTAGAGTTTCCATCTTTTTCCGGATATATGCCCAGGAGTGGGATTGCTGGATCATATGGTAACTCTATTTTTAGTTTTTCAAGAAACTTCCATACTGTCCTCCATAGTGGCTGAAACAAATTACATTCCCACAAACAGTGTAGGAGGGTTCCCTTTTCTCCACACCCTCTTCAGCATTTATTATTTGTAGACTTTTTGATGTTGGCCTTTCCAATCATCAAACAGCAAGTGCGAGGTGATAACTCGTAGTTTTGATCTGCAGTTCTCTAATAATTAGCAATGTTGAGGAAATCAAGCTTGCTTGTTTGTGCAATCCAATATAAAATAGTGAGAATCTGGGCTCCCTTGAGAATTCTGAAAGATTTAAAAAAGAATCCTACAAGGGTGTGCATGCAATGAATTATCTGATCTTTAGAAAACCTTGTGAAATAAATGAACATCACTGTTATTTTCACCATGTCACGAGTCCAAAAACTGAAATGAGAATAGTTCATCTTTGTCCCCAAAGACGCCAAGAGAGACAGAAAAACTGGCATGAGGAAACTAAGACTTAGAGTGAGTCATACAGGCTTTTAAGACGAGAGGTAGAGCCAAAACTCAGGGTCTACACTGCCAGTTTAGTGTTTCTTCAACTGACAGAGCGGTTCTCAAACTTCAGCTTACATCAAAATTACCCAAAGGACTTGTTCAAACAGTAGATCTGGGTGGTGTTGATGGCACTGTGCCAAGGGTCACACTTTTGAGAACAATTGTTCTAGTACAAAGTATTTCCTAGAAGAAAAAAAAGATAGAAACATGAATTCTGCTAGAAAAGTCAACCAAAGTCATATGGAAATAATAAGAAATAATAAATGACTGGGCCTGTTTATTTCAACATATGCTTCTCTATAAGAGTAATTTGTTATAAATTACAAATAAAAACTCAAATTTGTAATAAAGAAATCATTCTTATTAAGACTTCAAGCCCAAATATCAATATGTTCAAAGAGGTTGTAATAAATTCAAGCATGATAGATACATAATAGAATAGAAATAAACCAATGGAATGGTAAAAAAAAAAATGGGAAGGGGAAATTGGAAGCGGGACCACTTAAGCTCTTTGCAAATTCCTTTATGTGAGACAGAGCTTGGCAGCTAATCCGTTGATCACTCTATCAGTCTGCCTATCGCTTAATCAATGGATCTTAGCTAAGTATCAACTTTTTTTTATCATTAAACTCTCCTGGCCAATGAGTGGGATATGAAAAGGGCCCAACAGAGAGTTTCTGCCTATGAGAATTATGTCATCCAGTTTTGTGTATAAAATCTACAACTAAGAAGATTTGGAGAGCAATGTAGAAATTATGTTAAAATTTAGTAGCAATAATGTTATGTGATGTAGAAATCAGGAAAATCGAGATCAAAGCAAGTTGGAGAAGGTAAATAATAAACAAATACATATATCTTCATGGTTGTAACCTAGGAATTGGAACATGCCAGAGTTTCACTGATTAGCCATTGAATTGATGGATAAACAAAGTTTAAGAAGTTCAACTTGAACTAGACCTTTAAAAATGGGTAGGATTTGGATGGGTGGAGAGCAGGAGAAACAGTATTTGAGAAAGAATGTGTTATGAGTAAACTGAGAGGAAGGAAACTGCTCGCTCGTGTGTGTGTGTGTGTGTGTGTGTGTGTGTGTGTGTGTGTGTGTGTGTGTGGCGGGAGGGAAGGAGGGAGAAGCAGAGAAGACATTTACACTAACCCACAGAAGGTTCATGCAAGCAAAGAGCATCGTTGTAGGAGGTAGGTTTAGGGCAGTTTCGACCTTTAAAAAAAGCCCTAATAGATTAAGTCCAGAATGTTCCACAAGTCTTCAGGGCTTTTCCTATGAATGAGAGGAGCCATTCCCGACTGTTGAACTCAGCGGGTTTGTGGGAGATGGCGAAGCTGACAGCTATGGCATCCCGCAAACGCCATCCGCCCATCAAGGGAGGAGGCTGGAGAAGGCAGGGCCCACTGCACTTGGCACAGCAGACCAAAGGCACGCTCTGTGCCCGCCCTCTGCACAGACCTTCCCCTGACACTTGCAGGCCAGGGCAAGAGTGCATTTAGAGGCCCCAGTATGCCACATGGCTACACAGTTGAGAGTTATCAATCGGGATAACAAATGTCAAATACAAGATGTTTCCTCCTCCTCCACTGACAGACATACCTTTATATCAACCTAGAAACCCAAGTTTGAATTTAGAAGTCTCCACTTTCTGCACCAAAGCCTGGGAGGTGTAGGGTCCAGCCTCTGGCCTATGCCTCTTTCCTCTTCCCATCCTTGGCTCCATCCCACACTCTAAGGGCTTTGTACTTGTGTATGTGAACATCCCAGACCATGTATCCCAGCTCCTCCACAACCTCCTGTAAGCAGCCGCCGCCTGGCCAGCCCTCGGGTGCTGGGATGCACACAGCGCCAGTGAGATCTGTCCTCAGAAGGACGAGCCAAAGAGGAGGCCTGTGCAGCCCCTGGAATTGGGTTGAAGCCACTTGGTGAGGGAATTACAGACCCCGGGCACCCAGGGAGTCTAGCAAGGCACAGTGGGCTACAAAAGAGCATGGCCTTGTGGGCCCATGGGTTTCTTGCCCATGTGGAAGGTGTGCCTGGAAGATGAGCAGAGTGGGGATCCTGGCTCAAGGGCTCCCCTTGCCTGGGTCTAAAGATGAGTCAGCCCCAGAGCCACTGTGGGTCTGGAATCTATTACAACCCACCACCACCAAGTCTTTTCCCTCCACACTCCTGTCCTCCTCTCCATGCTAGAAGGTTCTCCCTTCCAGCTAACGACAGAAGGGTCGCTGAATCAAAACGCCAGCCTGGGCTCTCAGATATGCTCTTTGATGGAGGGTTCAGTCGGCGTGGAGCCAAGCCAAACATAGCCTCCTGCAGGGGTCTAACCTGCAGAGATGGTAGCCCCTCCTTCACAGCGCACCCTCCCCTCCCCGGACCCCGACCCTGCCAGCCGGCTGCAGATCCAGGGCTTTAGAAGCACATCTCATCACTTCCTTTTCAATCTCCACGTTAGCACTTGTGCCCTTCTTCAAGTGCTCCAAGGTAATTTTAAAGAATACCTCATTTTGCTTTCATTTTCGCTCTGGCCTGGCCTACCCATAAATCAGGGCTGAGGCAGAACTTGAGAGGACTGGGCTAATCAAGACTTCAATCTCAAGAAATGTTTAAATATAAATCAAAAGACTTGAAGGCTCTCCAGATCCTCAATTTTCTTTGAAAGCCTGGTCTGTCTTGTTTTCATTTTCTCCCGCTTCCTTTTTTTTCTGATTGGCCATGCTGAGCTCTGAATTTTATCCTGGTGCCTCTAGAAATATTTCTAAATAGTGTTCGATGTTTTCTTTGAGGCATTTCACGAAGCAATACAAGCGGGATATTGCTGGTGCTCTGGGGTGGTGGGTAGGGGCAGTCAACGGAACCTTGCTAGAATTGGAAGAATTTCAAATTTCAGGAATTAAGTGATCCTAAAATGCATGACCAGAGATTTGGCAGTTAGAGGAAGCAGGATGAAACCCACAGAACCGTAACCTTGAGAGCATCCTTCCTGTTTCAGATACTTTGTAACAAACCATCCCAACTTAGTGATACAGACAATAGGTATTCATTATAATTACCCCTCATGATTCTGGTTCTTGCCTGGGGTCTTCCATGAGGTTACAATCAGAAGGCGGCTGGAGCAGGGGGTCTTCTCAAAGCCTCCCACAAAGATCTAGCACCTGGGTTAGGAAGGCTTCAGCATTTGGGGCTCCTTGGGCATCCCTACATGTGGTCCCTGCAACACGGTGACTTCCTGGACCCAGACTTCTCACATGGTGTTTTAAAATGTAGGTCTTATTACTGCTCAGGAATCGTGGGATCAGGAGACAATTTCCGTTAGAAACATAATTAGTATGCTTACAGATCCCAAGAGGAGAGAGCACTCACCCTGCGAGGAGCCACACGGAGAAGCACCAGGGTCAGTTAGGGGCTGGGGAGAGGGTGGAATGTAGGCAAGAGACAATATTGCATT